CAAACTGTTCTCAATACATTATAATTCAATAAAAATGAAAAAAGGATTCCAGTATCCCATTGCCTGTTTATTTCTCTTTAATATGAGCCCTCACCCAGGTTTCTTAGCCAAATAGTTTCGGAGAAAAGTTGCACTCAAGTTGTGAAAGTGGAAATGTCCCATAAGCCAGAACTCTTCAAACTGAAAATGGGGAATGGGAATGGGAAATGGGGAAATCTGATTTTAGGGTTTTGTGGTACTTACATGGCATGCAGAGGCTTGGCACTGCATCCCATCTGAGTGTCTTGCTCCTGCCCTTGTTGTTGTATGCACTAGGTGCAAAGTGGTTGTTGCACACCCTTACAGAACTCTTGTCTGCCTTGTGCTGCACGTACTCCTTCAAATAAGGCGTCCATCTTTCCAGCTGGGTGCTGTTGAGGCAAACAGAGTCAGTTTCAGATTCAAGGAGAAGTGCAGTATAAATGGTGTCTCTGTGATAGGCCGATGTGGGGTTTGACGATGGGGAAGGAGGGGTAAAAGCATTTTTCAGAATGACTCGAAAGCAAGAAAAACATTATGTCCAGACTGTATCTCAAACCGTCCAAAAGTTCCAAAAATTTTCATTTTCTAATTATTCGAAATGAAGCAAATTTAGTTCTCATTTCTTTTAAAATTGAGGGGCAAGAAACTACGATTTCTGCTCTATCAAAAATTGCATCAAAAACACCAGTATTAAATTTCTTATTTTGTCTGGCACGTAACTGGAAACCTCATGCATGGGTAATTTTTGGAGCGTCCAAGAAAAAGGTCAAAGTAGAGTGTTTTGATGATAGTTATTATGCCATTCATATGAAAAAAAAAGTCAAGTGTAAGAGGACTGAGAGAGAACTGTTTCTCTGACCCAGATATGTATGTAAGAAGCTTCCAACATTTTAGATACTAGTGACCCTTCAGGCATTTAATACAGCAATTTATTCATACTTGCAACTCATGCACATTTTTGAAAGCTTCTTACATTCATTGGTCAGGGGAACAATTTCTCATCCACTTACACATTAGAAATCATCATATTAATATTGTTGGTACTAACATACAAACACTCTTTGGATCTTTTTCCTATGGATCTTTTTCCTAAACGCTCTAAAAATTCCCTGCGCATTGGGTTTGGAGCTCCGTGCCAGACAAAATAAGAAATTTGATGTTTGTGTTGCCCGCAACAGTTCTGACAGAACAAAATTTTATTCATTTTAAATGTTATAAAAGCATTTCTTTATCAAATGATACAATAAAAAACACATTTGAAAATGTGTTCTGTCAGAACTATAACTCTTCCCTTTCTGATTAAGAATGTCTTACACCCAAATTTGTCAGAACACAATTGTTGCGCATGAAACATTTGTAATAGAGCCCTGCGAAGAGAATCGTTGGTTTATAACTTTTGAACGGTTTAAGATACAGACTTCAGACATTGTTCTTTCTTAGTTTTAAATCATTCTGAAAAAGACCCCCCCCCCCTTCTCCCTGAATACCCTACCTGCCTATCATAAAGACACTATGTTCAGCATACCCTCCCCTTAATTTGTTTAACATCTGAAAGCCCATCACATTGTAATCGATAAGCAGTCTATTCAAGTCTTTCTCAGATTCTCAATGCTGATGAATGAGATTACAATTAATTCATGTTCGTTATTCATAATGTATGTATTTAGTACAAAACAAATCAGCACTGGTCTATCAGTAAGTGCAGTTCATGACAGCATATCAGCCATTTCAATGCAAAGGCCTCATGTGCTTGTATTTAATTTTATCTATCAGCTCTCAGCTCTTCCAAGTTTTATATTCTTTTGAATGGCTTGCCTTGGTTGCAACCAATCAACCATGAGCATGAGAGTAAGCTATGCAATTTTTGTGCAGTCAGGAAGAATAATCAGTGGCCTTCCCTCCCAGGCCAAAGCCCACATGGACCTCATGGCGACCCTATGGACGGAACGAGCAAAACTCTCGTGGAAACTTATGGGATCCTATGATTTGACTTTCCAAAACATTTTGGCCGCTTTATCCGCGGAATCGCCGTAGGGGTTTCTGTGGATTTGGGCCTGGCTGGAAAACAGAAACGTGCAACACTTGACTCACCTGTCAGTGGGGAGTCTGTGAAGACTGATCCCCTGCTTCTTGTAGGAGTTTGAGCAGCCTCGGATCGCACAAACGTTCCCCCCGGGCATTATGGCCCCACAATAATCAAAATTTAGCAAGACTAGATAGGCTCTGTTGGCTTAGAAACCAAATCAACCAAATCCCACCGATGCCACCGAGGCACCTGCTCGATGGCCCGCTGGTCCACTTTGACTGTGTATGTTTTTTTGCGGAGTACAGCGGAAGTGC